AAACTAACAGGAAGCTTCACGCCTTGGGGTCTAGGGGTAGGGGTTTAATTGCATTGCAATTGGACGAAGTCGTGGATGATAACAGTTTGGGATTGAATTTGTTTTCTAGCTTTCCATTTTTGCTGTTTATTTCCTGTTTGACAGTTTGGTTAATTAGTGCTGTTCGGCATAGTAGGAAATCTTAACTATGTCGTACGGAATATGTTTCGTTTCCAACGTCTAATTTCTCTAAAAGGTGTGCTTCGTTTAAATTTGAACGGTTACATTCAGGCTACGTCTTGGATGCATGTTCATGAACTTAGCCAAAGGCGTTAGTTTCCAATTTTGATTGTTTGCAACTTTTGATGTTCCAAATTCTCAAGACAAAATTTCATTAGTTTTGACAAACCGCATGTTTTGCCTTTCATGTCCCATTTTCCAATGTTCCAACTTAAACGATTTTCTTCTATTTCTGTACGGGGAAGCTTGTATTTCAAGATGTTAAACACAAGAACAGAAGAAAATCCGGACTAGTCAGACCGTCAGACTCAAGAATCAGATGTTTAAAAGCACAGGTGCCTTGAATATTTTTTTGACGTAGATATTTTGGAATCTTCGCAACGGGTTCCAAAGTGCATGAGGTTTCCCCAGTAGCTGTCTTTCATCATCTACTCGATGCAATCGCAGGTGCCCTCAAGATTTCTTTGGCCAGAGAGCATGATCGGAGTGGATTTGCGAAACTGCTTCCACAGTGCACCAGATTCTCCCAGTAGCTGGCCTTCATCATGTGCCGGGCACATGAAATTATCTTCGAGCAGTTGTACTACATTACTCAATGCGAAGTAGGCAAAGAATTGGGAGTCCAGTTGGACATCCCGGCTTCGCAGCAGCAGGATTAACAGATGTGCCGTAAAACAGAGACGATTTGCTTCAAAACAGACGCGGCATCATGAAGATTTTACAGCGACGGTGGGGGCGGATGGAGCAGCACCGGACCGGAACCAAAAAATTCAAAACACCAAAAATACCAAAAAAAACCAACAGTATCAAAAATACAAAAAAACCAAAAATACAAAAAAAAACCAAAATACCAAGAAAACCAAAAAACCAAAGATTTCCACATTAGTCCAGACTCCGGAGTAGTGTGGACATCATTGTATTTTTTGTTTTTTTGGTTCGTTTGGCTTTTTGGTTTTGGTTACGAACACATGTTTTA